GGCATCACTGGTGGCATGTTTAAATCACTGAACTAACAAAATTTCCATCCATCAAAATGCTTAAACTCTTCTGCATTTCTTTTTCTTCAAATGATCCAATTATACCTGATAATCAATTCATCACCTAGCCCGCATATTTATTCAGCTGCCAAATAAACATTGTGCAAATCCTGGAGGAAATGAAGATAAAACTCACGGAATTAGTTGTCTCTTCATAAATAACAACACTGCATATCATTAATTTACATGCAAATCCTTTACAAAGAAGACATATTTAGTGGCTGAATACGCATAAAATTTCTGTACTGTGAGTACACATTTTGTCTGATGGACGGACATCTTTAATACTGTCATTAAAAAGACTATCCCACATGGTTAGAGAAGGGCAGTGGTGGATCTACAAGAAGTGAAATAATCGAACACCGGTTATTCTATCTTAACGAATGCTTCCTTCAAAGTAATCTACGAACTGAGGAATAACCTGTCAAAAAAATAAACTTTTGTCTCCTTTGAATTGCTTAAGATTATTTATCTGGGTATCAAATATTCGTGTATCATGACTTTTAATAAACATTTGCGTCTGAATCGTTATACAGAATCCAGGAGTCATTGGATTTCAACTCAGTGGCTGAATGGACGAAACAAATTAGCAATATTCCTTGGTGTTTAATTCTTCTCTAAATGATTTTCAGTAACATGTGATTCTCATAACACACATGAACAGTGGATTGATTTCGAGACATCGTCTTGTGTTCACAGTACGCTTTCACTGTGTCAGACGCCTCATAACAGAAACGAAACACGAATAACTAAAAGTATGCTGTCTATTTACTTGCAGAGGGATTCACGACACAAAGCTCAACTAAGCCTATGAGGTGAATACACGAGTAGTGAAATGGCTGCCTACTATTACCGATGATATTCTTAATTGTGGTGGATTGAATCGTGCAACAGAAACTGTAAAGGGAGAAGATAAAATCGATAGTATTGTAAATGATTTATGATTGATGTCACAAGTTGGTAGAAAGGGCAGGAAGCAAAGACAGAACGTCAAGGGGACATAGAGACAATGACGTTACCTAAACAACGACAACAATAACAAGTACCAGTCACCATCAATAGGACAGATTTGAAAAATTCTTATCTCACATATTTTGGAGAGCATCGCTCCGACCACAAGTGGCGCGGATGAGGATATCAAAGCAGGACTAGGAAAATCAGAAATGTGAGTCGGACCTTCATTATACTAAAATCACTGTGGAAATCTGCTACACTCAATATGAAGTATAAGGTTCGTATATTCAACACTGATGTCAAATCAGTCAGTTCGTCTATACGGTTCAGATAAGTGATGCATATGTGCCGAGAGCTTACTGCTAGCCAAAATCGGTAGACAGCGATTTACGTCAATGTTTGCTTCCCAAATCTTGGTCATGAGAAAAACAAGAACAAAGACTCCACGTGGGCGGATACGATCCGCAGACATATGGTCTGACCTGCGAAGAAACCGCCACAAAGAGATGACAGCTTAACTTTCAGCGAGAAAAGAACCAATAAGAAGACGCTGTTTCTCTGCTAGTAATAACGAATAATAATGTATATAAAATAATATATAAATATCTCTTGATCTCCTCAATAAAGGACCTGTTGCCTGGCCCTTGTCTTCTGTCGTTACACAAACACTAAGAAAATAATTTTGTAACAGGGTAATGGAAATATTTATCAGCAGCCATCTCCTCTTGATACTGAATTTTAGGTGACAATAAATGACTAAGAGCATGCGTCACTGTCAATAAACGAATCAAGGTCCAATCGTCCAGCAAATTTGCTGAAGTAAATGAAGATTGACTGAATATACACTAGAGACCGTTGAATAACACTGGGCACGTTTTGGGACATCAATTTAAAGCCAAATAAGAAACGACGAGTAAATCAGGGTACTTATGGGTTGTTTCGAGTTAGCTACAAAGGACTGCACAGAATAAGACGAAGAGGCCAGATTTCCTGTCGAAGCCGTATGCTCCAATCGGAAATCAATGAAATAATGCTATCAACAATAACTACGATATTGCCTAAATGGGATATTTGGTCGCTTCTTTTATGCGTTAGTTCTTTGAAAGACAACTCAGTCAATTTAGCGATAACCACACACTAATTGGAAATATATAATTCGAGCATTTGTCACTAATTTTCAACGAAATCTAGTCTAGGCAATGATCAAACGTGGTTTATCTGAAGTCTGTATATATATTTGCACTACACATTTCGAACAGTGTTACTGCATACACATATTTGTTATATGGATTTACATGAAAGCTGTTCGTTTGCGAATGATATTGTAGGAACACCAATCAATCAATATATGTGTATATTTGGGTGGAGGCGTATACTAAAGTTTTTTGTTTGGGGTTGTCGATTGAGAATTTCAGACCCAGCTTATGTGTGTAAAACAGATTTCACCTCAATTTAAACCTCCCCTGGGCAATTTTGTTCCCAAACACTAAGTGATTTACTGTTATCCCGTCGTTTTGTTTAATTCATTGATCTTCATTGCTCTTTCTGACTCTCTGAATGGCCTTTTAGCCTGACGTTTTGTAAATCCCCTAACCAACCAACCAACACGCTGCCATTTTTTCATTTAAATTCTTATGACAATTATGTACATATTCAAATACATGTGTGTTTCAGAAATCTCACTATTACAAGAATCAGATAAATTTCGTATTCCTATTGTTCAGTCAACATTGAATCTACTTGCCGAAATTATTGCTTTGAAGTTCACATGGATTTATTCGACGTCAGCAAAATGCCCTGTCTCTGCTTTCATTTACCTCCGAAGAAGGATGGATGCATTGCTAACGAATTTTCATTCACCATAGTCAATGAAGATTCCGAAGTAGTTATTTCAACATGTATGGAAACTGAACCCGGTTGTGCCAAAGATGGCTATGGTGGCTAAGTGGTCTAATAGATAACGCTTTGGCGTTTGTAACAATGATTGCTGACTATTCATCTCAGTGAGTACCATGTAGCCAAGTGGTCCGAAATGTGTAAAAAGTTGAATTATGGGTTCCACTGTGACCTGGAATCTATCAAAATGAAACAGAGTCTATGTTGTTATGACTAACTGATTACCTATGAAGAGGAACTGACTGACCGGCCTCATTTAGATATGAAATAATATTGTCAATCCTTTGAGGCGTAGAATCATTGAAAATACTAAAATGTAATTTACAACAATGGGAAATATTAAAATTTGCAGCCTACGAGATATGTATTATTATAAATGGTATTATACTCTGAATGGTATTACACGGAGAATTTACCATTCATAGTCACATCAGGTGCAACTAACTACACAACAGGGAAACATGTCGCCTTATAGTCCTGAGGTTCCTCCTCTGTTGAAGGAAATCCTCCAGATATCAGACTCATGGACAGGCATGAATTGACTCATTTTCAACGTACTCTTGTTTGTACTATTCTATTTGAATCTACCGTTGACCCGTATCTGTAATCATCAGTTGAATTTTAGCATTATCACTTAGGATCATCTTATTCTACGGTTGCCTGGAAGGATATTGTACTATACCGACTTATATATTGCACATCGTAAATATTTCAAACTTGAGAAAACTTGATATGGATGATTAAAAGATTTGGATTCCTTTGATTGTAAGCTGGGTTGTGAAAATTGTCATATGTCTAGCTAGTCCTTCGCTATTTTCCAGATTGCATTTGGTTGAAGAGACGTGCGACCAGGCATAACCATCTTCTGACCCACTTATCTATAAAGACAATTACTTATTTTCCATTCATTATAATATCCGTTTTGTAACCTCTCTTCTTCTTTTCAACTGACTTAAAGTTTTGATTCTCAAATAACCAAGAGACCTGGAGTCCAGCGAAATTATCCAAGAACTTTAAGAACGTGTGTACCCAGTCTACTGTTTCATGATATCACTGTGCGATATAGAGGAAATGGAGAGATTTCAGCGCTAAGGCAACACAAAGATAAAAATCTTTTCCTATCTGCATATGAATTTCTACATTCAACCTCATGCATATACTGCTTTCAGTGCTTCTGTTTATCAAGCTATTCATAGGGCAAAAATGAACAGGTTCATCGATAAATTCGAGAAAGCTTACCTGACTGATGCTGAAATGATGAAATTAAGTCTGCAGAAGGCTTTGTTCTGTCAAACTTAGTGAACACAAGATATCACATGGACGTTAACATAACCTTGAGTGGGATATATCACCTACCGAAAAACATGACCACAAACAGTGTGTCCAAGTCTTTTGCAAATGCTTGAATTTGTAGCAATAAGAGAGCCTCTGTATTCTTAAACTACAAGTTCAGGCACTGATCCATACTCAAACAATGTTAGACTAATGGCAAGCCTCCCATCCATATTCCTGTTCCTCTTTTCTCTTCACCATCACTAGACGGCTTTCATCACCTCCTCATAAATTTTATTCCTCAGTCTTACAGCCTCCACAACTGTTGTCGAATCATCCATACACATACGCACACATACATACTATTAACAAGCTATCCTCGTTTATTATTAGTGATGTTATTCCTCATCATATAACTTCATTTCTTTCATTTATTTATTAGTGATATATTCACTGCAGTGTTACTTACAATCGTCTGTTTAACGCAGTCTGTAAACGCTGTCCAAACTTCCTTAGAGAAATTAATCAGCTTTCATCAATTATTCTGGAATTCTCCAGTCATATCTTGATCACAGTTCATATGAATTTTTATCAAATGCCTTTCTACAAGCTTCTCTCATTGGTCACTCATAGATTTAACTATGGGACACACTTCCCGATCAAGAAGTTAAAATGAGATGGGAAGAACTGTGATTGGTTGTTCAACCCACATATATTTCCATACGTTCAACTGAAAGTAATAGAAGGAAAATATCTTCATTTCAATGGGTTTTCTTTGTTTCAATAAGCTGTCGTGCATTTCATTTCTCCTCGGATTGATGCTCACAAGTGAGTTACTCCCTATGCTTGTATTAATACACTTCATAGGATTCAATTTTTACTGATTTTTTTCACTGATCTGATCTCTGCTAATTTATATGAGCTATTTATTTTTAGAAAAGACTAAGGGGGAAATCAGGGAATATGGTCACCGATTAGAAGACTGATGTTTGGAAATGAGTGCATATAGGCTAGAACTTACTGAAGATCTCTGCGTGATGTGAATTTAAACACATATGTCATATGTGTGTCATAAACACATATGCATCTCATCAGGTAGAACCAGAAATCAGTACAAAATAATGTATGCTCGTACAACCAAGTATAGGAACTCAACGATACCATATTTGGCCAGCCCGTGTTCTAAGTGAAACGGAGACAATGTTAAGCGTGAAACCTATGACTTGCTTTGTTGTTAATAACATAATTTTGGCCCTTGTTATTTCCCCCTTACACTCTCTTATTTGTACTCTATAGTGAACAACCTTCTTAAAAATACTTAGCTGCTTAAAATTATTATCATTGGCTTACATTTTTTTTATTCTTTATTCTATTCATTCTTTTGTATATCTACTGGGTTCGAATATATTATCACTATGATTATTGCAAAATTGTCCTGTCATTAACCATCATTCAATATTAGTTTTTTGGTTGTTCTTTGTTCGGCACTATTTAACTGACAATCTTGTTTGTGAAACGCCATCATCACCATCTTAAAATTGTGTATTTATGCAGGATAACTCACACTACCACAACAAACACTGCATTAGTACTGACAATAAAAATAAAAACCCTGAAATGTTTATTTTATGATTGTTTAGTGCAGTTCAATCAAATTAACTGATCATCTTGGCTATAAACATTCTTAAGAACATCTTATAATTTTCTTGTATGATTATAGCTGTTACCGTTCACCACACATACACATATCAAAGCTTCCACTACCCAATACTGATATATTTTTCATCATTGGTGTTTATCTTACTTTCTACTTGGCATTTTTATTTGCATTTTTTGTTATTTCTGTGTTTTTTTTGTTTGTATTGTGTTTTTTTATATATTTTTTTGTAATACTCCTTTTAAATGTACGATGAAATTAGATGCAGTATTGTAGATATATGCTGAAAATTCCACACTGTACCACAAGTAATGTTCCTGGAATAAAAGCGAAATAATAATGATAAGTAAGAGAGAGGCAGCTAATGCTAGTTGACATAGCCCAGTCTTTTGGAGACTGATTTCAGTTAGGGAAGCGCTGAAAACCTGGGAGTACTGGATAGTTGTTACTTCTTTCCTGCTTTAAGGAATCTTCAGCCGTACACACAAGTGATCTTCTCCCCGTGAATCATACCTAGGTTTTTCAGGTTTTAAGGCGAGCTCATTGAATATGCAGGCACTGGACCGACCCAAAGGGCCATGAAATCTAACTTCTGCCGATTCGTGGTATGTAAATATAAATATATATGTATGTATATATACGTATTACGGTGGCTAGATTTCACATGAACTTTCTATAGTCGATACTTCGCCTTGTAATTTCATAGTCTTTCGTTGCAATAGTGTTATTCAGTTGTTCGCAAGGATAATTTGTTCTCATGGAATCCTGTGAGCATCTGAATTCACCTTTTGCATTGATAAGCCAAATCAGAGTCAGTCATTCAGTTCTAATTTGTCTTCACGTGCAAGATGAATTCGTCGAATCTCGTCCTTTCTTCCAACGTATTTGTTTCGTAATCTGTTCTCTTTGTTACTGAATAATATCTAGTGAAGTTATGTCTCCCGCTACGAAAACTGAGGCATCCTTGCCTCAAAAGCATTTCATTTTAGAGATGTTCATATCACTAAGAATTCACAGTAGATTCAGAGCTGATGAAAACCGCTTAAGCATTGTAGTTGATGCAAGGGAACAAAACCAGTGAAGAATACAAAAATCATCATCAGGGTAAAATCCCATTGCTAACAATTCAGTCGTGATGTAATCATGAGTATTTCCAATTTCAACTCTTCTTTAATGATTGAAATTTGGTAATTTAGGTTTGAGGAGTGAGAAATCAAAACTTCACTCCAGTGATTAACTTATCTCACTCATCCCAGGAATAAACAATACCTTGTGCTAACCGATGACTTGATGGTAGCGCTCAGCACTTCATTGTCCTCAATGCTGATAGTATATTGCTCGTAGAATGCTCACTATGAGCTCTGAAAGAGCTTACACAACAATCCTGAACCTTTCCGGTATTAGAAAACACACAGCCCAGTCAGTAACGAACTACAGTAGCTTACAGTAAACACCAACTTGCTAACTGTCATCTTTGAAATCACCTAGAACTGCTCATGCACAGATATTGATCTGCAATTGTACTGATCAATAATTGACGATAAAATTCTGAGCGTCGATCATTATCGCAGTCTGCAAATAATCATCGTGACGGTGAGTTCGATCACTTCATCAGTTAGAATCCTAGAATAATGATGACTTCGCCTACATTCACGAGTGCATTCTGCAAGAATTTCTTACCTCATTACCTCATGAGTACAATTTTTGCTTGGAAATTTACGTTTACATTATCATATGGATTACGTGAATGTGATTCATTTGAGTAGAGTTATTTTTCATCAAATTATTTCTTGCACAAAGCTACTTCATGAGGATAAACAAAACATGATGTCTCTTTTCGGCGAATTCATTCTCTTAGCTGTACAATCGCAAATATATATGCCTTATTTTGTATGTATGTTTACATTAAGTTTGTCAAACAAAATTACAATCGGTTATGGTTATTTTAACTAAACAGGTGAAGACTGGTAAATGGTTTACCTGTTCTTTAATTGCTTATAATTCTTGTATTCATTTAGAACTCTTACGTGATTTCACATTATCTACTTTGTTCTTATGTGAATCCTGAGTAAAACTCAATCATCAAACTATTCATTCATCATTACATAACTTCTTTTAACAACTGTTTGTGACAACCCATCACCTTTGTTACTAGCCTAATTTCATTAACACCTAATTTTCTTGACTGATTTTGTATTACGTAACTCCATTTACCAGTATTCACCTGTTTAGTTAAAATAACCATAGCCGATTGTAATTTTGTTTGACAAACTTAATGTACGCATACATACAAAATAAGGCATATATATTTGCGATTGTACAGCTAAGAGAATGAATTCGTCGAAAAGAGACTTTTATTTGATCTACGTGTTTTGTTTTCATTAATGCCTGAATGGGGATTATCTATGAAAATATGATGTCCCTGCCCTGTTGATTTTCCAATAGTGGACCACTTTTATTTTCTATTGTTTATCATCTTAACGCGTGGATCATTTCACTGGAAATCCTTTGCTTACAAATGACTCATTCTCAAACTCACTACTCAATATAGACCTCTATAACCAACTGAGAACATAATAGTGCGCCTTTAAGAGGAAATAACTGTCACTTAATGCTTATCGCAGATTATGAATTACCGTAAATCCTAATCTTTTGTGTAACTGTATTGGGATTTTGACTAGATCTGAAATAGTAATCATGAAGCTTTAACCATGCAACTGTGTGGATTTCGGTGTTGCGAAACGGCCATTCGGATATACATCAACACAAATCGAGACCGATAAGTTATTTTAAGCTGCACTGCTGTTGGTATAAATGCTCTGAAATCACCCATAATCCTTACACAAGCTGTTTGAAACTTGACATCTTTCAATGGGATTTTTACTCTGAATTATTCTACACCACTAGTATGTTACGTGTTTTGGTTACTTGAAAATTTTATTACTCAGCACATCAGAGTATCATTCATTCATTTTGATTTATTTTAATCTTTGCCTTTTTAATACAGTGAATCAATGTTGCCAAAGAATTGGAGCTCCGTGTACAGGAACCTTTATTCGTCGTTGTTGTGGTGATTTACAATGTGAATACGATACACTGGGTTTGGGAACTTGTCAAACGTGCATACATTCTAACTTTAGTTGCAGAAAAAATAGTCAGTGCTGCTCAAACTACTGTAAATTTTTTGTCTGTCTTTGAAACTATGAAGAATATATTGATGTTGAATAATCACTTCTCTTTGTAAACAGACATTTTCTCATGATGAAATGTAATCAGAAGACGTGTGAATACACCGGCTTTGAATGAGCCCAGATTATCGGAAACGGGTTGAAAAAAACAATTACTTCTTGTATCTAGTGGTTGAGAAACAGTGTCTAACCTCTTGATAATAGCCGCGTTCTTCTTCACTTAAAACATGTTTACTACCTTAACACAAATGAATTGAACTGCATGTAGACTTGGCATATTACTGATGAGTACATTATGTTAAATCTTTCACATACGACTGATAACAGACTTGAGGTATCATTGTACCACTAGACATAATGTCGTTAAGTTATTAATGACACTCGCCTGGTATTCTTGAATTTCTTCTTTCCGAAGCAACATGCCTTTTGAATGATTTCGAAGTCACAGACAATACTCGTTGCTACTTAATCGTCCAGCAGTGATCTCTCAATCTATCTGCGTCTCCCTGGACTGAAGAGAGTGGTTAGCTAAGTGCCATCTCTGAGGCAATACTGTGACTGATAAATTTATGCGCGGCACTGAAACAACCATGTGTGCGTCGGTGGCACATCAGTTAGGACTCTTGCCCGTCATGCATATGGTCCGGGTTTCTATCCACTGCCAACGCGCAGCTGATATCAATGATTAGCCTGCGAAATTCGGGCTACCGATATCATATGCTGAGAATTCCATAATTGTAACAAAAATACTGTATGGAATCAGGCTATAATCAAAAATAAGATGACATTGGATGCTGTTGGATAGCTTTCAAAATTAAGATAATTGGCGAATGTTTCTTCCCTGACTGTTACACAGTCAAGACTTGGTGAGAATGACCAACAATATGAAGTGAAGAATTCCTGAACTTGCAGCTAAACCTCTGGCTCATTTCAAAAGTTAGTATTTATTGGGTATGTTGTCTCTTTTCGCGGGCTTTGAACCAGATAGTAAACTGGTGAACTAGTAAAATAGGCGGTAGTGTGGGAATCTGAAAATTGAGATGGATAGGGCATATGCTAAGTGACATACATGGAGTGACATCACGTAGCGATCTGACGTTCACATGCAGGAAGCCACATAAGGATAAGATGAAAGCCAGTTAAAGATGATTGCAGAGAATACAATGAAATGGAAATTTTTGTTGAAAACATAAGTTCCACTTGGAATCCGAAGGATTAAAAGTAATAATAGTGGTAAAACAACTGTAGCACAGATGTTGAAAAGCTGGCTGATTGATCTAGTTCCAACCCTCATGCGACCCAGATTTTAAATTCAACTTCAACCGCCACCCCTTACGTTAGTAACAGTCTGTTGCCACTAGACTATTTCAGAGAACTTCATCATCAATCAAACATGCTACCGCATTTAATGTGGTTAAGAAAAGCAAATCCACAATAGACCATAATTTTTGATTGGACACTAGTAACCAGTGTGATATGTCTAGTCGTTTCTTTGTTGCAGAATAAATTCTATCAGTCAAATTTGCAACGTGGCCACCATTCTAGGTACATTGATTTGATGATATTAGGTGGTTGGAGACAATCTGCCACAGGAAGCCTTGGACCTAGGTTTCGTGCTAGTTGGCGCTCAATCGTTAGCCAGACGTATCTACAATCTTGAAGGGACTCATGTCCCTTCAGAGATTCGAACCCGCGTCACTCAGTGCTGCAATCAGAAACGTAACCACTGAGCTATTCGGCCTCACGGCTGACCTCCTGAAGGACTGTAGTGGATACTTCAGTCTGAATTCAGAATTCAGTCTGTATAAAAGAAGTAACTAGACACACCACACTAGTTACTAGTGTGCAATCAAAGTATCCCCCGCAGCTCTACAGGAGGTCAATCACAAGTTCCAATAGCTCAGTCATAGCGTCTCTGACTGCAGCACTGAGTGATGCTAGTTCGAATCTCAGAAGGGACATGAGTTCCTTCGAGATTGAAAATACGCCTTTCTGAGTGCTGAGTGCGAACAAGTACGAAATCTAGGTTAGGTGAGGCTTCTTCTGGCCGATTGTCTTCAACCATCTAATATCATCAGACTGTAATTTTAATGTTCCACCTGATTTACGTTAATCTTTTTATTCACCATTGTTTTCAATACACACGACTAAGTATAGTGTGAAATCAGAAGAGCAACCGATATTCCCTAATTTCACCTTTTTTTTCAATATGTAAATGTATGATACCACGTAATTCTGAATCATATTTAAAAATTAAGCCAACCCGTAAACGAGAGCCAACAAGCATTATATTTCTGTAGTCCAGTACCTTTTAAACCATTAAGCCAAAGTTTAAACAAAGTTCATAATAATTCACCAACTAATAGTTTGTTTCCGGTTAATACAAGACATGTGATTCATGCGGCTAGTAATTAAATTATTATTCATATATATCTATGAGGGAGGGAAAATAATTAGCCTCTGTTTGCAATATTCCCTTCTTTTCATACTTCACAACCACACCATGAAAAATACTCATATGGTATAAATGAAAAAGACAACAGGTCAGCAAAATATATTCTTGGAGTAAGTTGGTGAATGGTTGTTAGTGGTGGAATCAAAAATATGAGCGTTTCGTCTTATTTGAGACGCGTCTACTGGACGTAACTGCATTCTCAGTGAGTGACTGTGCTCCCATGAAGACAGTAAATAAGTACCCATGTCAAGACAAGCCAAATATTTCTGTCCAGTAGGTCAATGGGAAAATCAAAATTGAAATAAAAACAAGTAATAAGTGACGCCCGTTGTACAAGATGTGGCTCTCGTAGCCTAGTCGTCTAGTGGATAAAGCTATAGCGTTTGAAACTGTAAGTGCTGGGTTCGAAGACCGCTGGAAACACTACAACTCACTGGGAATGTAGGTACATCCGTCTAATCAGTCCCAAATATTGTGGACTCCGCTGCTAGTCACCATTCAACAAATTACTTCAAGTTAAACATTCGTGTTATGAACCGACGCGTCAACAAAGACCAAATATTTTGATCTAATCAATCAAACAGGAAATCATTATTCCTTTAGAAACAGAATATTCATAACATAAGTTCCCTGAAACGACAAACAGTTATGTAATGTTGTAAGAGGTGACCGTAAGGTTAGTTCATATCAGTCGGTAAGAAAACATTAAATCACATATGAAGAACAATAATAAATTATGTTGGTCCGTAGGAATTAGTCTTGTTTTCACGAGTTGATCACAGAGTGATACCAGTTAGAGGACCATTGAAAACAAGGGAGGACTGGACATGTGTTTCATCATAGTTTGGGGAACATCAGGGGTTCGAACCCAGGACCAGTGAAGTCCAACCAGTCAAGTGTGAGGATGGATGTCCCATCGACGACATTGGTTGGTGGTCGCGCTAAATCACGAATTTGTAGAAGTTAGAATTCATGGGTTTGCCGTTGAGTCGGGTCCCACTGGCTAAATGGTATACGAGCTAGCTCACCTTGTAACCGGAAGATGCTGGGTTCGAACCGTGGCGGTGGGTGTGCGCTGATGATGGTTCCCAAACTAGGATGAAACAGCTATCCAGTACCTTCTTCTGGTTTTCAGGAGTTCTCCAACTGATATCAACCCGTGATCAACTTCGTAAAAAAAATAAACTATGTAATCTAAAAGAATATATGTGATAAGTGCTTCACTGAAGTGATTAGCATTAGAAAATACAAGCCCTTGGAAACAGAATTGTTTTTAATGACGGTAAGAAATTTTGAATATTTATAAATTATACTTTGAAGTTAGTAGCTTGGAAGGAGAAACGCCGAATGAACATAAATCACACATTCAGTTAGTGTGAAAGTTGTAGAAAGAAACAAAAGTTCAAAGCCACAGTAGCAAAAGAAATTAGACGAATCGCTTATGCATACACACTTCAGGGTTTTCTTGTGTATAGCAAGAGCTTGGGCTATGCAGAGAGGATTTAACAGGTAACTGTCAGAATAACTTCGTTTTATCTTACATCTTATCGTGAAAGACTTTTCTTTTGGTTGACACGGAATGATTTGTGAAAACAATTTACTCAAGAACTATTGAACCATTGCCCGTCTAATTCCTCCCTTTTGATAACCATATTGGGTTAATGTCTTTGTGCACTGCTCGTCAATACCCTACTGATACCGATAACTTTCTTAACTCAACAGGAATCAGTCAGTCGATATGTGCACATGAATGTCACTGACAGTAGAACATTACTTTTGACGTTGTGATTGATAAGGGGATACGTGAAGGTGAGACGTTGAAATTAGGCAGAGAATGTTTTTGGAAGTGATTTTGATAATCCACTTCGAAGAACTACAGCTTCGCAATTTCTTCCTTAGTGCTTCTATCATTTGTGGATTAATCGTCTTACTAGTTGATAACCATTCTAAATTAATGTAATGGAAAAACTCTATTTCTCTACTTAGTCTGTCTTCCGCACATATGAGATTGATTCTTATGGGGATAATTTCGATATAGTGTCTTCTTCAACCTAAAAGTCTGTCTGTCTGTCTGTCTGTCTGGATTCAACATAGAGCTTGGCACCGAAGTGCAGCAGTTCGAGTTGCCACGTTCCAAATGCCACACAAAAGTAGACAAGAAGATGAGTGAAGAGAATCAACAGAGTTTGACAAGTATAACAGTGAAACAGAATGGGTAATGGTAGAAAAGAAATATGAAAGATTACAGAGACTGAATACATCTGCGCCATTGACAACGATTTTGAGCCATATCACCTATTGTCTCCAGCCATTGATTCCTAGAGTCCCGAGGGCCCCAACCCGGGAGTCTGCAACCTAAAAGTAGGATAATTACGCTGATTTCTGTTGGCAGACAGGCTTATTAAAAATAATTCTTCGAAGTTATCTAAGCAGGACATGTGTTTTTTCCCGAAAAATTATTCAAAAAGTAGCAACATCTTCAATGTTTAATTCTGAGTATAACCCCTTTTCTGTGAGAAGATATTTCTCCGCCTAAAACCGATTAGACTGTAAATTTGTAAACTTCAGATAGTCTTCAGTTGATGTCTCTGCTTTGTAGAC